CATTTAAAATGGCTTTGCTAATGGCTGATTAAACACAGGACAGACAAGCAGAAATAGAATTTGGAGTGGGAGGATAAAAATCCTAAAGCAATGTTGCACAAAATGTCCTGAAGGATGATGTAGCTCAGGTGGAAGAGCAGTAGGCACAAATAGTCTGTCAAAATGAATAAATGTAAATGTAATGTTAATGGGAATCAAATCGGATTACTTTGGATGAATGGAAGTTACATGTGTATTTCGAAAGTATTAGTAAATAGTAATGATTTGGTAATTAATAGTATTACTAAATAAGAAGATAAACTGGTATGTAAACTAAGTAAAATATATATTATTTATACACAGTACAAACAATTGTGCATTAAAGAGAAATAATATTAAAATGAAACGGGTCTTTCTTGATGAATATAAATTTCTTAGAAATTTTTATATTCCTATTATAATCTTAAAATCCTGCTATTAAATTTAATTACATGTTTTCTTATCTTTTCTTTTCTTTTATTTATTTTATTTTATTTAGATTTATTTTATTTTATTTTATTTTATTTTATTTTATTTATTTTATTTTATTATGTCTTACATGTCTTACTGAACATTCTGGGGACATTTTAGAAATTAAAAATCCAAAAGGATCTTTGTTGATGTACATATTATAAAGCTTTTTATTCCTATTATAATCTTAAAATCCTGCTATTAAATTAAATTTAATTACATGTTTTCTTATCTTTTCTTTTATTTATTTTATTTTATTTTGATTTATTTTATTTTATTTTATTTTATTTTATTTTATTTTATTTTATTTTATTATGTCTTACATGTCTTACTGAACATTCTGGGGACATTTCAGAAATTAAAAATCCAAAAGGATCTTTGTTGATGTACATATTATAAAGCTTTTTATTCCTATTATAATCTTAAAATCGTACTATTTGTAGCTTGATTAAATAAATTAAATTAATGAAATCAAATTTTTATTTTATTTTTATTTGTTTATTTTATTTTTTTATTTATACATTATTATTTATTTTGTATTATTGTATTTTATTTTATTAATGTCTCACTAAAAGACTAACAAAATTATGTAGGGAAATTTCAGTAACTATAAAATCCTGACGGATTTTCTTAATTTATATTGCTATGCTAAATTACCTCTTTTTGTGTTGGCATTTATAATAGTTCTTTGGGAAAATTTTGTAAATTAAATTAAAATAAATTGTGAGTGTTTAATTATTCGTATATAAAGGAACTCCGAATTGCTTTCAAATTATGATATAAATTGCTCATATATGACATTTGCTGTTTGCTCTCTATCATCTACTGTCTACGTGAGTTAAAATGTTGAAGAAGCATAAGAAAAAAAATAGGTATGCAGTATTATATGAGCAAATACCTTTGGGATACTCTCAGGAAATCAAAATGCAAACAAAAAGGCTTTTAAAACGACATGATATGTATTAATTCCGGTGTTAGACACGCACTGACAGCGACCAGGGAATATAGAGGGCTTTATTAAAACAAAAGTGCATGGCGGTGCTTACAAGCCAGAATTTTTGGCCTTTTTCTGCCGAGTCATTGACTTACAACGGTGTGCGTGTGCCCTCTGTGCGTCTCAATGACAGCTTCAATAAGAGACTGTCCTCGGATCGCCTCTATACCCCTGCATCCGGCCCTGTTTATCCCTGCATGTCCCCCCGGTGCTGTAATTACCCCTCCAAGATGTCATTAGCTTTAATGTGGCTACGCAGGCAAATGGAAGGTCATTCAGAGACAAACGGCAAAGGAAGGAGGACGTCAAGGTGGCCTGAATTACAAAGCTATAGAGAGAAAGATGTCAGAGATTGAGTAACTGACATGGAGACACACTCAAAAAAAAAAAAATTTGCTATTTCTTTAAACTAATAATTAAAATAAGCTGAATTAACGCAATTCAACGCAAACTTAATTGTTTTATGTTAAATCTACTTCAATTTGTAAACACTAGTAAGTTAACATGAAACCCAGTCTTTTTTAGTGCAGTTAATGATATCAGAAAGCAGGGTTTTATGTTTTGGGTTCTCGAAATCTACCTGAGCTCAAACTCCCCTCTCGCCCTGCAAACGGGAGGGAGCCCTGGGCTCGAGGATCTCATGAGCTTAGGGCTCTCTCCCGAAAAAGCATGCCAAACTAGCTCGTTACCGATAATCAGCTAAGTGTGAACTCTTGACTTAGAGGTTAAAAGTCAGAACTGCAATTGCAAATTGTAGATATAAACTCAAAATTCTGAAGAAAAGGGTTTATTGAGAGTTTTAACTCA